TCTCTCTCTCTCTCTCTCTCTCTCTCTCTCTCTCTCTCTCTCTCTCTCTCTCTCAGTTTTTATTATTATCTTCTTTTAATACGTTCGTTTGATCGATCGTGATATTTCATCGAGCGTAGATGAATTTAAGAACGGAATAGAAACGCGATCCACTAAATTCGAGGCAACGTGACTTTTAAAATGAGTAAATATGGTTTCTCCTTCCTTACTTTCTTTTTTTTTCTTCTCCGACGAATTTAGGATCCGTACTTTTATTGCCTCGCCGAGGGAATTTCACGAATTTGCAAATGCACTCCTATCCCATCTAGTAGGGAGGGGTTTGTTTCGAATCGAGCTCGTGAGCAACCACCTTTTTTTTCTTTCTTTTTTTTTCCTGTTTTCCATGCGATAAAAACTTCCGACCGAACGAGAGAGAAGCGAGAATTCGAGCCGAATCAAAGCAGCCGTGAAGTTTCCTCCAGAAGTGCGGGGAGATCATTTCGAACAATAACGTAGGTTCTTGCGTCTACGATAAGAAATGGAGGGGAGTGTGAAGGTGAAAAGTTCTTTCAAACGTCTCGATAACGTCAAACTCTCGAGAGATGTGATTCTCCTCTTTCGAGAGAAAAAGAGGCTTCTTCTTTTTTTCTTCGAGATATCGATGAGAAAAGATTCTTGGTAAAAAGATTGTTCTAATAAAAAAATATTCCTATAATGTCCATCAATTTTCCAAAGTGGAATTCGATCGTCTTTCTTTTTTTTTTTTTTTTAGAGAGAAGAAATTTCCTTTGAACCGAAAAGGAAAAAAAAAAAAAAGAAAATAAAATCCTTTGAAAGGTTGAACGCGTTAGGAGGGTAAATGATTCATTTAGGAGCCATCCACGCCTCGTTATCGCATTAGCCCGAGCTGCTGCTTCCGGCGGACAAAAAAGGGGGATGGAGGGGAAAAAGAAGGAAACCGGGCTCCTTGTTCGCCGGTGAATTATTTATTCGGGGTGGGGGAGACGGATAAAACGTTGCGAAACGAATCGAATCGAAAAGGAATATTGGCTACCGATGTTACCTGTACTTAACGAATAATGAATAATTAATAGACCAGTTTCTTTCATCATTTTCTTTCCACAATTGTCGCCACTATTTTTCCTCTCTTCCTTCCTTTTCTTCCCTCCTCGATTTTTTTTCTTATTACGCGGTCGTTCGAGCTTTTTATCGCGACAAGAAAGTGATTTTTTCGCCGAAACGAGAATACGGGCCGTTTCCTTGCATCATTTATGCTCCCGCCACGGAGAGTTCGATGAATATTGAATGGGTAATGGAGAATGATCTACTCCTTCGCTAGATTCGGTATCCTTCCTTTAAACTCTCTCTTTCTCACTCTATCTCTGGAGAATAGCGGAGCAAAAGGATTTGTTCCGAAGGAAAAAGTGATTTAAATTCGTCGTTTCATCTTCTATTCGAAGGAAAAAAACTAATAAATAAAATTGCGACGAAGCGAATGGTTCAGAATCTTAAATGGCGGGAGAGTTACGTATCGTTGGTTAAGATTATTGAATTTGATCGAAAATCTAATCTCCATCGTCTTGGCGGTGAATTTAAATCTCTATTCAATTGGCCGTGGATTAAATTAAAATAAATTTAATTTCAGTTAATATCAGGCGTAAAGCGCGAAACAACGCGAAATTTCCAGTTGCTACGATCGGCCGTAACTGATTAAATTATAAACGAGTGATCCCCTTCCGACTTGCAAACGATTCTTGCAACAAGGAAACGTTGTTCCCTCTTTTTCTCCCGCCGCTTTTTTTTTTACGACTCGAAACTTTGTTAAAACCCGCGTAAAACTTTCCCGGCTATAAAGCGTATTTACACTCTGTTATATTTAGCGTATCGATAAATCAGTAAATTCGAGTAAAATACAGGAGAGTGGAAAAATTATGCCTTTACTCAAATAATTTTGTTCGGGAAGTAATTTCGTTTTTTCACACGAGTGTCGCTGTCGAACGTTTATCCAGCCAACTTCATTCGAAACCGTGTTATAATTATATTTTGAGAGTTGGCACTTCGTGGTTTCTTTGTAAGAAAAATTCGTTCGATTCTGTGCAGTTTGTGTTTTTCGTGCGTGATAACAAAGATGAAAGATCAAAAGAAACATTTTCAGCATATTTTATTTTTTTATTATCGAAAAGATAAGAATGCTGTTCAAAGAAAAAAGAAAGAAAAAAGTTATGCGAAGTCTGTGGAGAAGGTGTATTACGCTAGTGTTATAAACTGGTTTTCTAAATTTCCTTTCGACAATTTCGATATTAAAGAATGCGACATGTTCTGGAAGACCAGTTGAAACTGATGAAGACAAAATAAAGGCACCGATTGAAACAAACTAATGAAGATTGAATTTGTCGAGTTCGACTGTTCATGATCACATGAGACGACTTGGTCATGAAAAAAAACGAAATTATTTTCCGAACAACCCAATATATTCGTTCGTGAAACAAAAGGTAGAAAGAAAGAAATTTTTATCCTCATAATTACATGTTTATTTTTCTACTTTTCTGAAATGTTTGTCTTTTTTCTTAGCATTCCTTTAATAATTTCGAAAATCACTATTTCGATCGATATGACAGTCTGGAAATACAAATATTGAAATGTTTGTCTTTTTTTTTAGCATTCCTTTAATAATTTCGAAAATCACTATTTCAATCACTGATAGTTTAAATAGATGATTATGTGGAAATACAAATACTGAAATATTTGTCTTTTTTTTTAGCGTTCCTTTAACAATTTCGAAAATCATTATTTCAATCATTGGTAGTCTAAATATATTGTAATAAATGATGATTGTGTGGAAATACAAATACTGAAATATTTGTCTTTTTTTCGTAATTTCGAAAATCATTATTGCAATCATTGGAATAATCTGGATGCGCTGCAATAGATGATGATTATATTAAACAGTAAGTATGCAACTTTAAGAGTAAAAAAATAAAGACAAAAACAAAACTTTTCGATTCATATCTCTTATTATTTATTTAATAATACTTTTATTTATAATAATACTATTATTTATTATATACAAAAAATCTGACAAAATCTGATAAAAGGATGCTTAGGTTGGAAAATAAGGATATGCTTTTTTTCCATTCCTTTTTTTTCCATTCCTTTTTTTTCATTCCTCGACCCGATCACCTAACCTAACCTAAATCTTCTCCCTTATTTAGCTCGAACTTTCTCTCTTCCGGTGAACCGCGAAAAACTTCGCAATCTGGACCCGAAAGACCACCCCGGAAATTAATTAACGAAGCAAGTTTTTCCACGAGAAAGAAAATGGAAAGAAACGGTCGAAGAGACGGTAGGAAAGGTGAAGTTCTTCCATCGTTTGACAACGAGCGGAATACGTAAATGGCGGGGAGAGGAAAGAGGCAAAATGTTTGGAAGTTGAAGCGAAAGAAAGTTGAGGCCGGGATCGTTCGATTCGAAAAATACAGGAAAGGAAAGGAGACGTTCGTTTTTTCAGCTTTAACTTTCAGATTTCCTAATGGTTGTCCATCAACCGGTGTTATTACGAATCTAATTATGATAATAGAGTCATGAATTATACAGAGTCGGGCTCAGAGTCGTCGGGACAATCAGGAAGCGGGATGGCTACGGGTCTGGAGGAGAAATAAGCCGAAATCGCGGGAATAAATTTTCTTTTCCCGTTGCCAAAGTTTTGTTCCTTTTTTTCCTTTTTTCTTTGCGAATAATACCGGTTGGAAATTCTGACGAGCTCGTGAATCTATGTAGAATTAGCGAAGTTGGACGAAAGAGAGAGAGAGAGAGAGAAAAAGAACAGAATATTTTTATTTAAATCGATTCGTTCGAATGTATATGTCGTGAATGTGTGTGCATGTCGCGAAACTTAAACTTTTTTTCTCTAAAGTTTTACGGAAGCAAGAAAAAATAAAGAATGAAAATTTAATTTAACCTCTATACTGATCTTGTTCCTTCTTGCAGCCAGCGATTGTTTCGAACTTGGAAGACAGTCTTATCATAATCGTGATTACTATCACACCGTCCTGTGGATGCAGGAAGCCATGGATCGTCTTCAAGAGGAACAAAACGCGACCACAACTTCGAAACCAGACATATTAGAGTATTTGGCATTCTCGACGTATATGCAAGGTATAATATATATCGCTATATATGATATATTTACGAGAAAATACGTGTCCAATAATTCACGCGTTTCGATGAAGAAATTTATACAAAAGACAGTACTATAAATTTCCCAAGTTTTTTCGATGATAATTTATTCGTGAATCGAATCGTGTCTAGGTAACGTGGCGCGAGCTTTAAGCATGACGAACGAGCTATTGGAATTGGTGCCGACGCATGAACGTGCTCTGGGCAATAGAGCTTACTACCAAAAGGAGATTCAGAGCAAAGCGAGCCAATCGAAGAAAAAACGGGGCGAAGATGGTCAAGATGACACCGCTGTTCCTGCACAAGTAAGATAATGATTCTGCTATGACGTGTCTGATGCTATTTCATAATAAATTCTATCAAGACATTTTTTTACTTATTTCATTTTTTGTGATGAACATTTTCTTACGAACGTTTCAGCATTTCACAGTTGCCGAGGAAAGAGTAAAAACTTTGGACGAAATGACAGAGAGGGAACGTTACGAGATGCTGTGTCGTGGCGAGGTAACGATTCCGCCAGAAGTGCAGAAGAATCTGAAGTGTCGTTACGTCGATCGTGGAATTCCCTTCCTAAAAATTGCTCCATTCAAAGAGGAGGAAGCTTATCTCGACCCGAGGATAGTCGTTTACCACAACGTGATATACGACGACGAAATCGAGACTATTAAAAGAATGGCGCAACCGAGGGTAATGTTGATAAAATAATAATGGAACGATACAAATTGTTTTCGAGAAGAAATAAAAAATGATTTTTCCAAATGATTTTTCTTTACAAATATTGCAGTTCAAGCGAGCTACTGTACAGAATTACAAAACTGGTGCCTTAGAGATAGCGAATTATAGGATTAGTAAGAGTGCTTGGCTTCAAGAGCACGAGCACAAACACGTGGCAGCTGTGAGCAGACGTGTGGAACATATGACGAGCATGACTGTCGATACGGCAGAAGAATTGCAAGTGGTTAATTATGGTATTGGTGGTCATTACGAGCCACATTTTGATTTTGCGAGGGTAAGTCAGAATTAAAGAAATTATATTAGCAAAACGATTAAATCGATTGATTGTTTTTATACATAGAAAGAGGAAACAAATGCATTCAAGAGTTTGGGAACTGGGAATCGTATTGCAACAGTTTTATATTATGTAAGTGATACCTAGAAAAGTACAGAAAAATTATTAAATATTTTATTAATCTCAAAATTTTATTATTGTTATTTAAGTTTCAAACAAACGTATTATTAACTATTTCAGATGAGTGACGTAGAACAAGGTGGAGGTACTGTTTTCACAGCCATTAACATTGCTTTGTGGCCCAAGAAAGGTAGCGCCGCCTTCTGGTATAATCTCAAACCCAATGGAGAGGGAGATTTCAAAACTAGACACGCGGCATGTCCTGTTCTCACGGGTTCCAAATGGGGTATGTGAACTAACAAAATCTTCGAATTTCAAAATATTCATTTAATATTATAACAATAATAATAATAATAATTGTTATGGTAGATATATAAAAACAAACTGTAAGGATCTTTTCAAAATTTTCTTTGATAAACATTAATCGTCTTTTTTTTTTTTTTTAGTGGCAAACAAATGGCTTCACGAAAGAGGTCAAGAATTCCTGAGGCCGTGTACTCTCGAAAATCAAACGGCCGATGAAGCTGACGTCAGGCACTGAATCGTTATTCTGACCCCGGATCGTCATTAGTGAAAATGAACAGAAAAAGAGAATGTTGATAAATCTCTAATTTCCTTAATCGACTGCTGAAACGCGAGAAACTTAAAGTACATCTACGCCGTTGTAAACAGTGTGTTTAACGTTGAATGAGAATTATGAGAACATTGAAATTAATTCGCGGTGATTTTTTTATAAGTCAAACAACTTTTCTCGATGGTAAAAAAGCATAATTTTAAACGATCGCAATCTTGATGAGAAAACTGCCAATGTTTAATTATGCATTTAAAATAATGAAAAAAAATATATATTTTTATTTTTTATCTTGTAAGAAATATTACAAAAATTGTACGGCAGTTTTCTTTTTATAAATTCGTTCATTGTAATCTATGAATAATATTATCCTTAGATCCTAGGATTTTTACAGAAGCACGTAGGCGGTAGCGTATGTTAGAATATCAAGCAATAACAAGTTGCACATTTGGGCCAGTTACTAGTTTTTTCCCTAAAAGAAAATCGAAATTCTTGTGATTGTGTACAGAAGAAAAATATCGTGCACAGAAATTATATGTAACAATCCTGTGCAAAATCCTAAACATTTTCATCGCATTTATTAACATAATTAACGTGTAAGAATGTAAAATGTGGAATCTAGTATTCCTGTGTTCATCAAAATATTCTAATGAAATCTTTAATCACATCGTTCCTTCTCCTACGACATGTTTCACCCTCTTAATTGGGTCTTTTTTGTAAATAGTAGTAATATAATCGAGAAACGTCGACAATTTCTTAAATCCATTCGTCTTGTATACGAATCATTTGTAAAAATAAGAAAAAAATAAAATAAAAGAGGAAAGGAGAAATGACAAATGGAAAGAAATATAGAATCTATCGACGGAGAAACATGTCTGTTTTACACCGTGATATTGATCTTAGCATTTAAGATGTTATTTTGCGAGCTTCGATGTCCGTCATCGTGGAACGAACAAAAATTTATCGAAATTATTAAAGTAGAAATCAAGTAATCGAAGAGTATCTTACCTTAGATACCATCATTGTTCTTTATTCCTTCTCCTATCATATACAATCGTGATCCTTGTATGTATGAAAAATTCAAAAAAAAAAGTCTCTTCAATCCTCAATTTTTAATTAAAATTGTTAAAAGTATATTACGTATAAAAATGTAAAAATAATGTTTTTATACAAACACGAGCTTGATAATTAATTTCACATATTTTTTTTTTAAATTTTATATTTTTATTTAAAGCTATATTTTCAATATTTTATAGCAGTAAATGAAAAAAAAAAAAAAAAAAAAACTTGAAAATCGAAATCTTGACGCAAAGGACGCGCACTATCACCACATCATTTAATACTCATTATCGCAAAATTAAAAACTATTTAAACAAACGAATATTTAAATAGAAGAAACTTTGCATTTTTAAATATCTTAAATCATTAACTATATAAAAAAATAACACTTATTAATATAAATTTTTTTTGATTTTCTTAATTTTCACAACACAAAAATTTGCACGTAGCGCGGCGAACTTGGAACTAAGAATATTTCGTACCAAGATATACCACATAACATGGCGAACATAGATTGTACGTTGATTGGTTCGTTTATTACCAGCAATAGCTATGAACCAATCAAATTAATACATTTGTTGAAATTAACATGTTATTGGTATAACATTTTATAACGTAATTCAGTGTTTAAAGTGACACCAAGTGATTCAAATTATTGTGTTTGTCAAAATTTGAATTTAATATTATACGTGATAATATTATAACAATTTTTTTCATTAGTAGTGACTAATTTATTAAATGATGTCATATTATTGCACTATTGAACTATTTTTCGAGAAATTCGACGCATCCAAACAGGTAATAAAATTTATTAGAACAGAATTTCAAACTGCACAAATTTATAATTGGTTAGATAGATTAGAAAGGATTTTGGTGCAAATTATAAATATATACAATTTTATGTAAATTTAAACATACGATAAGTTTGAACACATATAAATTGTTTCGATATCAGCATTCGAATTGAAATAATATCATCGATCTAGGTTTTGATCAAACAAAGTTGTTACGATTCATTGTTATCGTACTTAAGAGATATTGTTACATCGAATGAATTCAAACAGCTCACTTCACAATGGTTATATACGGTGCCACGGAATCGCTGTATTTCCTGCGTAACGTATAGTTTGTAAGTTCATTTATAACGCTCGTTACTTTATTCAACTAATAAATCTTAAGATAACATGACATAATAAAAATTTATAAATCCTGCATTTATTATAATGAATAATTAATCTTAAACTTCCTAATTTTACATTTTATTAATTCAATTCGTTTTATGATATATGATTTATATACATACGTGTATATCAAAATATATATTATTGTTTATATTAATTATATACATTATTGTTTTATTTTATTAATTCTTTATATAAAGGTAAGATTAAGATAAAATAATATATTTATTTATTTATTTTTGTTTACTTTCATTCATAGTATATTTAGCTAATTTAGCTAATTAAATAAAGATTAAATTCTTAATTATTTATAACTTGAAATATAAGATTTTATAAAAGTTATTTTTTTCAATCACACAAAAAAATATTATTTTCAAAAATTCATAGTATATTGTTATTTAATAAAAATTTAAATAGACCACAAATTTGATATCATAACCTATGCTAAATATATTTTCTCCGAAACTTTATTACCTTACAAAAGAAACGAAACTTTGTTATTTCACCTAGTTACCCAACCTACATCCGTTATCAACTGAAAGTGCATATTTCTAACTCGATTATGACAATACTCTTTTCATTTTAAGCGTTTTGTATTTAGTAATCGACTAATTTACAATGATGAACTCTGACATTAATTATTCGATGGTACGATCACATCCGATTGTTCGCAAAATTGACGCCACTTTCTAAGGGAAATGACGAAATAAATGGCATTTCTAATTAGCAATCTCATTTACATCATTCCATTGGTTAGGTTCGCTAGGTCATCTCTTCTAGATAACTATAGTAATTCTAATTTCATAATATCCTATTTCCTTTTGAAACCGTATTACGTGGATCAGTATCTGCTCTCTTTCTTTCTTATTGGACTAAATTTGTCCATTGAAGAGAGACGAAACTCGACACCCACGGAATAGTCCTCCGAATCGATCCGGTACGTATGTCCTCCTTCCTCCAATTGATTCGAACTTTGTCATTCCCGAGCAATCTATATTTTCTTGCCATCCCTATCCTCCCTTTATCACTGTGCCGCTCCTCGTTTTATCAAGCCAGCTCTTTTCTAATACCTTTCTCGCTTTTTTTATCTTTTTCTCCGTATCACATCTTATTCATCTTTTCAACTTATGAAGTGAACTTTCAAGCGAGTTTTTTTTTCTGGTGAATTTGCAAGGTAATGAAAAAAAATTGTAGATTCAGAATAGAGGGATTAAAAGAAATCTTTATTAAAGAAATATTGTATTCATTTTTTTTTTCTTTTTTTTTATATTCCACTATTAAGAAAATTAAATATAGTACATAAGCAATCATTAGAAGATTATATATAAATCTTTAAGAATTATTATTCGGTTTAGAATTTTGATCTATATTCAACGTAATAATAAATGAATATATTAATAATAAATTAAAGCGAATTAAAAAAGAAATGTATTATTTTTTTCTTTCATTATCTTTTCATTTTGAATTCAAATTGACTTTCATTCCTTTCAGCAATCCAATAAGTTATTATAATAAATTATATATCCAATTTTTATCCGCTAACTTGTAATTCTTCTCTCTCTCTCTCTCTCTCTCTCTCTCTCTCTCTCTCTCTCTCTCTCTCTCTGGCTCTATCCGACGAGGCAAAATTTTCTCGTAGCATGTGTCGAGTCAATTCGATCAGAACTTTGGATGCGGGAGTGAGTTTATTTTATGAAAATTTTATGCCACAAGTTTACGCCCGCCGTTATTACGTGAAAATAACGAGAATTCGTGGAAAATAACAAGAAAAGCGAGAAACGATGATCGAAGCTTTTATATTCCGATATTTAATTATTTTCATGGATGTATGAAGCGATGAGAATATGGAATATATGGAATATATTGTGTAATTCGTTACACAATCAATGTTACGAAACGTTGTCAGCTTATTCGATATCAAATATACGGCCTAATACTCGAAATAATTGTTCGATATGAGTGTAGATTACGATACGTTTCGGAACTAATTATTAATTCCATTATTACGTAATACAATATCCAGTTATTTTAAACATTTCCTTCACTTTCTTCCTTCGAATACGAATTCGTCTAATTAATTCTTTATCCTTTTAATTGTATTAATTATATCTCGTTACGAAAATTGAGTCTTGAACTTGCATTCAAAAAAAAAAAAAAAATGAAATGAAATGAAATTCATTCAACGTAAATTGAATTTGGAACAGCATCGTTTTATGGTGGTTTCCATCCTGAGAAGATTTAAATGCTTTTTAGTTAGTTATCGATGCATAGAGTTCGTCAAAGTATAAATACTTTGGATGGGTAGGAAGATATATCAGGTGCAACCTCGAGGTTCCTTATTAAATTTTTAAAACCGTTTGCGATTCTGACGTAATTTTCTTATATAATTGCAGAAAATTTCTTTGCAAAAAAAAAAAGAAAAAACAATTGATCGTCCATTTCACTAATTGTAGTCATTTCCTTTTTTTTTTTTTTTTACTCCGAATTTTAATTATTAATTATCGTATTATTCTCGTATATCTAATTACGTTACAAACATAATTTAATACGTCCTTTTTACTTACTTAAAAGCACAAACATCTAGTGACGTTCGTCCATGGTGACGTTAAACAAAATAAATACTGAAAATAGCTGAACTTTTATACCACGATATAATCGATAGTGTAAACAAAGTTCAAAAAATATTGGACCGATGTAATATTCTCTCATTATAATGTAAAATACGTATAGGGAAAGTGAATTTGAAAAAAAAAAAAATTCGTACGCTTAACGATTCCAAATACTCGAAACCTCTTTAATCGCCTCCTCCGTAACCGATAAACCGAGCAACACGAGGGACAGCGGGACGATCGATCGACTAGGTCAAAGTTTAAAGCGATGCTCGAAAGGCTGGTGGGATCTCGCGTTATCTGGCAAACGCAGGCCAATGTTCGTATTAGGTCGAATCGAGACGAGTGCATCCGCGATAATGGCCTCCACAAAGCCCTCACAACAATTGCGTCGTGGCACACCTGGGAAAATGGCGCACGATATTTCGATTCGAGGGAGAATAGATTCGTATCGATAAAAAAACGGATTGATTGTGGAAAATGTATTTATATAACGGGTACCTTAACCTCTGTGTCTAAAAAGAAAAGTTTTTACAAAGATGTTTTCGAGTAAATTGTACGATAGAAAAATTCTCGAAATCGAAAAGCGGTTATAAATGTGCGCGTTACACGATTGAATCGAAGCAAGTAGAGCGATAATGGCCATCTAAATGAGTCTCTTTAACAATTGCATCGGCACGCCTTCGAAAATGGATTATTTTTTCCTCCTTGATATTTCGATTTGATCAATGAATAAAAAAATAACCACGTGTACGTCGTCTAATGAGGAAGGTCTAATAAAAAAAAAAATGAAATGTCAGGAAGTTTTATAAGGGTTTTATAAGTTCGAATAATTTAATTAACAAATGTGACTGCAAGTTGTTTGATTTACGTCCATATTATCCTCCAATGTTCAATCTATTTTATTCACATAAATCTGAAAAATTGGCCAATGTAACACAGGAATACAATTGGACGTAATGTTTCGTAAGATAGTAATAATAACATCATGGCTTTCCATAAAAGAAAATACAATTCGATCTTTTCAAAAGAAAACACTGTTCACAAAATTTGTCCAACGATTTGTTGCTAGAAAGAAGATCGAAGAAAAAATTTAATTCAGAAAAATATTCAATTGATTCCATAAATTAATTCATAAAGAAATTTATCTATAAGAAATCGATCTAGATCTAAGATTTGTAAGAAATTAAATAAACAAGCTAAACGTATCTATAACTCGTTTTCCTTTCAACGGCGAAAAAAATTGCAAAACGATCAAGGGACAAAAGGATCGATCAAAGGGAAGGAGTTGTATGCCTAGCTTTGTTCAAAATAGCGAAAGTAACAAAGCATCGTATCGATCGAAAGAAGAAAAAAAAAAGCGGTCGAACGGACGGAAGGGAGAAGGAGATTCGACGAAACTTCGTTACTAATTGTTATTTTATCCCGTGGACCGTGTTTACGTCCGATTCGACACGTTCTATCTTCCACAGAGGTTTACGACGGAGAATTTTGCTGCTCCCCCCTCCCCCTCTTCATAAAGAGAATGCTGTCCAACCGATGAATGATTGGGAACTGGAGCGAGGCATTCGTTTCGCGCTTCAAGGAATTCCCGACAATTTCGCTCGTTTATCTGATGAGCGCCACTATTTGCGATTCTTTTGCTCGTCAAGATATTCTACGGGAATGATAGGATGTGCTGCACGTTCCATATTCGTTGTCCAAAAAGGATCGGAACGTGGATTAATTAATAATTGGAATTTGAATGTCCTGAAACCAATAATCGTTCCTCTATTTACTGATTGGATAAATAGAATTAGAGAAAAAAGTTGAGATCGAGAATTCTTATGTGGGAACAAGAGATGAATCGCAGAAAGCATTGTTTTCACTGTTTGATCTTACTGGTTACAAAGCCTCGTTACAATTTGTTGTATATGTTATACTTGAACTTGTATAGTATGGGTGTTGCCATCTGGCGGGACCATATGGAGATGGCACTTGGTGATCATGCGTGTCAGATATTATCGCGTGCCACATGTTATTAAAATATAATGTTCCTTTTTGTATTATGAAATAAATGCTACACTTCCAAGTCACAAATTTCATTCCATACATAACACAACTATTCGTTCTTTTCTATAAACGAAAAATTCTAAAAAGATTCTCGTCTTGTCTAAAATATTATATAAATATTATCGAGATTCGGAAATAATTCCATTGGAAAGTAACCACCCATTATTTTTCCATCACTTCCATCCTGGACCTCGCCGATTAAAATTGGAATTTTCCATTCGACGACAAAAGAGAGGTAATGATAATTGTCCACAAAGGCAGAGCCGTTTGGTCGTTTCCATTCCATCGAGAGTTCCATCGATGAATGAAAGGTGTGACAGATAAAACGGAATGAATGCCCGCTTCGACAAACAAACGACGTTTAAGTTTCGTGTTGACGCGTGAATTAGGCCACAGTTCCGCGCCGCGTTCTTCTTTGCATAAAGAAGTGTATATTCGCGTGTCGATCCACGTGGAAACGTGCTCCAACAGATAGGGAAAGTTTTCCATTGGTGACAAAGGATCGCGGCCGCCCATTGTTCCCCCCCGTTGTTACACTAGGTTATAATTCAATTCCACTTTTTTCCGCCCGGTTTCGATCCGCCAATGATTCTAATTCTCCTCCTCTCCTGGAAAATTTAATCTTGGATTTCCGTGGATTTGTAGGGGAGAGGGAATTTCAGTGAGGTGTCTAATTTTCTGGATGATTGTTATTCTTCTCTTGGAGGGAATAAAAAATTTTTGAGATATTTGTGATTTGTGAAGAATACTCTCGATGATTAATTTCTAATTTTCTGACGATCGTTCTTTCTTAGAGAGAATAAGAATTTAGAATTTCGAGAGAAAAGTGTTTTTTGTACTTTCCAATTTTCTGGATAATTGTAAAGAATAAAGGATTTCCGGAATTTCGAAAAATTAAATATCTTGATGATTTTCACGTGATGTCATCGCTTTTAAAAATGGTTGTTATTATTAACAAGGTTATATAATGACTGTTCGAATTAAACTGTTTTTAATTAAACACATTTATTGAACCTTTAATCGTATAGATACATCTCGTCGCGTCGTCCAGCGCGTGACGATTATAATATAATATATATTTATATTTATATTTATATTTATATATATATATTTATCTTATTCGTTACATATCCATGTGTATGTATATATATACTTTATATTTATACGTAACAGATTCACGCGTTTACGAGGGAAAAGGAAACTGTCGTTGCCCGACATTTTAAAAAAATAACTTTTTTACTATATTCTCTCTCTCTCTCTCTCTCTCTCTCTCTCTCTCTCTCTCTCTCTCTCTCTCTCTTTCTTCGAATATGCATACGGTAATTTGTATATATAAAATCGTTCCTTATTAAAAAAAAAAAAATTCGATGAATGAAATGAATAACTATCGAGAAGAATAGCGAAAAAAAATATTTCAGGCTTTTTCTTTTTCATTTAAAATCATCGCCTCGATTAAAAAAGGGAAAAGGAATTTCGTTTTTTTCCTTCGAACATATACGAAAAAAAAAAAAGAAGTGTAGCGCGTGAAATGTCCCGCGTCACAATCGTTCACAATGTCTTTTTTATCTGTTTTCATCGAACGACAGATTCCTCCTCGGCTCCGACCGGATGCACGATATCATCGATAGGTCGATCGCGCGGAAATAATAAATAGATAGAAGGTACAGTGTTCCACGAGGTGGAGACGCGTCTAGAAAAATATAGATGTGGGAACAACACACATACAGGATGTCTCTAAAGTTGCGTCTTCGTTCCATTTTTTTTTTCTCTCTTTTTCCTTTATATATCTATTTATTTATTCTTTTTTTTCTTATTTTTCGCTGAAGACAGATGCACGGGTAGTGTGATGAGATCTACGTACATCGTTCGTAACGTTCTCGATTTTCCACGAGTTTTTCTTCTCTCTCTCTCTCTCTCTCTCTCTCATATATCGCTTCTTCAATTCTTTTTTCTTCTTCTTCTACGTAAGAAACTCGAGAACGAAACACGATTTCTTGATCCTTTAAGAATTTCAACGCGTGCACACGCATTATCGATTCTTGTTTTATAAAATAGATCGATCGTTTTATAAAATAGATATATATGCATGTATATATACATATATATTTTTCGATCGTTTCCAACCACATTATTCTTTCAAAAATGATTCTGTTGATCGACAGCGCGTGTGTACTTCGATTCGAGTGTACACTCTCGACAACGGTACATCGGCCATACTTCCGGTTCTTCATCGTCGTGCCATCGATACGCATCGATGTCCCGTCGTATATCCCTATACAATAAATTTTGGTTACCCTTTCCTCACTTTCTTCACTCCTCGCTTTATATATATGTATACACGTCTCTACGAATCGTCCGATTCGAGTATTCAGAAATATTTCGCGGGGACGAATTTCGATCCGAAATTGTTCTGATTCAATGGCGTCTCTCCGATTCGAGGGAAAATGAAAATAAATTCGAGGAGGCAGGATCGTTTTTTAAGGCCTTTACCTCGAAGCCTTACTTAACATTATTTAATACATCGAAAGGTCACATCGACATACATACATACATACATACATACGAGTCTGTACTGTGCTTCTATTTTCGGCCACCGATCATTAGCTGCTAAACGGCTACGTGCCTTAATTACGCGAACGTGGCGACGCTCGGTGCATTAGAAAATTTTCTTCGCCCTGGCTAGCTCTATCGGTATCGGTATATTAGGTGGGTGCAAAAGTTTCTTTTTTTTTTTTTTCTTTTTTTTTTATCTCGCTTCTTACGTTTTCTACTCTCTTCGTCAATTGTAATCGGGCTTATTATGTATTATAATTAACGCTACGTGGTGACGATGAGTGCATATCCATTGTTCTCCCAAGTTTTATCTCTCTCTCTCTCTCTCTCTCTCTCTCTCTCTCTCTCTCTCTCTCTCTCTCTCTCTCTCTCTNTCTCTCTCTCTCTCTCAACGATCAAAGGAAAGAGATACCAAAAGCAATACCTCGATTTTAAAATATCTTTAAAAGATAAAATCAAGCGAATTAGAAGGAAAATTATTAGATATAATAACGATTAACCGACGCAACTTTTTCAACCACCTAATACACGCATTGTTATATTATACGGATAATACAAATAAAGTAACGAAAACTAATCGGTTATCGAGGAAGAAGAAAAAAAAAAAGAAAAGAAAATAAAAGAAGATACGAAGGAAATATATAAATATGTAACTCGCTGTCGTGACACGAAATCCTATTTAACCATGAACGAGAGTGAAAATTAATCAAGGAATATCGTTCAATCCTTTCGCTCGTACGCGTAATAGTATCAATCAAACCTTTCGGAGAAAAAATTCGCGAATTTTCACAAGGGGGATCGGTTCGAACATTTTCTTTTTTTTTTTTTTTTTTTGGATTGTTCGTCGCAAAATTGATCCACCGTTTCTTTGTTATGTTATTGTTCCCCTTTTTTTTCAGTCTACGTCTGATGATGAGGTCGAAGTCATAAACGTTTCGTCCGATCGATTCTTTTTCTTTTTTCTTTTTTTTTTTCCTCGTGAAATTTTTATTCGGAATAAAAGCGAAAGGATTGATCGAAATACGGAAGGGATACAACACTATCAAGGAATAATAACGCGAGAACTATCATTATATTATTACCGGTTACGATTTCGTTTTGAACAATCACAAGTGTGGTCGAGAGAAAAACGATATATATTTATATTTTGCGTTTGACACAGGTACAAGTGCGCCGATCATCGATTTGCTCGACAGTCGAATAATCATACTCGAACAATTTATCCAAGCCTCGAACGCTCGAGCCATCGTTCGAAAATATACTTCGATATGTTCGTGCTCTCCTCCTCTCCTTTCTCCTTACTTTTTTTCTCTTCGATTCACACTGTGATTAAACTGTTCGAGTATTTTTTGACACTGACGAATATACTCGTGGTACTCGATATACAGTAGAAACAACGAGTTACTTTTTTTATTTATTTATTTATTTATTTATTTTTCTTTTTTTCTTTCTTTCTTTCTTTCCTCTAGCTACTCGACGATACAAGAAGTTACCCAAGTTAATCGGTCGGTTTTCCAGTTTTGATTTTAATCGAAAATTGATAATGTGACAAATACGAAAACTGGACCACTTAAGTGAATTCTTCACTTGGCGAGCAACGTTACGTTAGTAGAAACAACTATTTAATTTAATTTCCCTCTTGAAGGATTCCCTTTTTGAAAGGAATCGCGAGAAAGAAAAAGAAAAGGAAAAAAAATCTATACATCATCTTTTCCCTTCTTCCAGACGATCTCTCGTCTCATTTATTCGATTGATATTTGATCTTTCGAATTTCACTCTCTCATCAACCGTTCTCCACTTATTCACAATTTTCACACAACAATTTCCCTGGAAACAAGCTTACATACTTACATCCCTTACCTTATCCTCTTCTAAAAAAAAAAAGAAAAAAAAAAATTCTCGATTACGAAACAAAAGGAAGCCAACCGGATAAACCGAATTTAATAACTCGGAATTTAATAATTGGCCGATCACAAATCCCACGAGAGGCGATGATGTCGGCGAGTGATGTCAACGATTTCATCTTCTTCGTCCCATGGTTTTTGAGGTTGGACACACGCGCACAAGAGACCCCCCTCCCGTAACGGGGACATAGGAGGGGAGAAATCGCCACCTCGACTCGACTTTTAGATCTCGTAGTTGCGAAACTTGTTCACCACCTCGCTCGGCGCCTCCGAGTCCCAGCCAAGATCGCGGCGGGCCCCGTAGTAGATGTTCGCCCCTCCCTCCGATGCTCTTCTGTGGGCGTTCGTCGACTGACCCTTGCCCGCGTGGCCCGGTGAACCGGCCCCCTCCTCGGAACCGTCCTGCAGCATGCGATCCTTCGTCTTCGGTGTGCTCCAGTGCATCGACTGTATACATAAGTCAATATTTCTTCCTTTCTCTCGAAAGAGAGATATTATTGGATCACATCGTTTTTCGGTTTTTAACCATTTCGTTACCGCAACAACAAAAATGTGCACAGTGCTCGAGAAAGATCTCGAAGGTCAGGCGTGTTTACTGTAACCCGAGTAGTTTCACGGTTCGTTGAACACATTCGCGTTTAATACGTTGACTGCCACGCGTGTTTCTAACGAAATTCTCCTTCAGGCCACGTGGTGCGCCACTGTATCAAGTGTGTTCCAGTACCTTCTACCGATATTTTAGTAATGTCTGATGGTCGCAAGAATGATGTCTCGCATCATTTGTTTCCATCATTACTATATTCGCGTACGCAATAGAAATATTGATAATAGTAATTGTATTGACAATAGTATTGAATAGTAGTATTGATTTATATAGTGTATTTTGGATATTTTAATTTGGATAATTTGGATTACAATTTGGATAATATGACTGTCGAATGCCCTTCGATTACAAATATTTATATATATATATTCGTAATAAATATACTTCTTAGTTGTGAATTGTATATAAATTATTCGTGTGGCTTGTCTATTGGAGACCAGGGTTTCTCACAATGTCACAGCAGGTAATCGTGTCCGATGGTCAAAGCACGATATGTTCATAAACTATCTAATTGTTGTATCACCATGAGACTCGTGATACCTCAAAATTAGAAAATTTAGAGAATTATTANGCAGGTGATAATCGTGTCCGATGGTCAAAGCACGATATGTTCATAAACTATCTAATTGTTGTATCACCATGAGACTCGTGATACCTCAAAATTAGAAGATTTAGAGAATTATTAGTTACAAAATTATTAGGATTATCCGAAAATACAACAAAACGGAGTCAACATAATATCGATTCGGAAAAATAATTCTGATATAAGTATTAGACTATATGCAAATTATGTTATTCAGATAAAAGACGATAAACTGACCGATCAAACGCACGAAGGAACTTAAAAAAAACTAAACAACTTTTTATCCAAATTGTCCAGAACTCAGCTTTGTATAGAATGTTTTAAAATTTTACATTCAAAATAATTTTTTTAATAAATTATTTTTTTATTATTTTTATTACAATTTAATAGTTTTATTACACTCTGCAGAATATTTTTTCAAATGCCTACGAAGATCGTTCATAAGTAGTCAAATAAGGGTTACCCGAATATAGATAAATATAGCGGCAGTCAACGTGTTAATCGCACTTTCGAATCGAATAACATTACAGGATATAATAATGTGATATAATTATGTGATAATAATAATATCGCGTGAGAAAAACGAAATATAGATACTACATTTTCAGAGAAAGATATTCGATGCGTACGATAATTCGATTCACTCGTACAATATGCGTCTTGCGCGGAGCGACTGTAATATATCAAAATTTTACGTCATTTTCACTTTAGTCGGCCGTAATAACGAAAAGGTTAATTTCGATGAATTTATTTCTCGTGAGCGAATATTTTCGATTGATAAGTGATCCAATGGTTGAATTTGAGTTGGTCGAAGGATGATACAGATATTCGTACATTTTGTGAAAAAGGGAGGATGAGGATGGATGGAAGCAATCGTGCGAGGATTTACGAAAAATTAACCCTTTGCGCTTCTTTCACGCGATTTTCTTCCTCCTTCCACCCGTTCGTTGAATTTCTTAGCTAACTTAAAATGATTTCAAGCGCGAATCAACGTAAAATTTTTATATTTTAATATTTTGTGTTGAATGAAAAAAAATTTATTGTCACCTTCTTATACTATCACTATTTTTCTTCTCTCCATTGTCAATTTCTTGTAATAAGGAATTATAATATTTTTAATATAATTTTAATATAATAATATAAAAATATAATAATTTAATATAATAATTAATATATATTATATTTTATAATAATTTCGTTATTTAATAACGAAAAACTCATCTTCGAATTAATTTCATTACCGTATTCGATGCTTGCAAAATTCGAAAAAATTTTGAAAAAATAATATTTCTATTGGCTGTCAAATATTTCGGACTAATCTCGAAAATGTGGATAGTATATTATTCTACGCTTCACAAGATCATATGTAGAGAGCTTAGGAATCTATTCTATATGAAGCGATATCGCATGATAGTCAGCATTGGGGTGCAAAGGGTTAATAAATCGATGAAATGAAACCTGGAAACTTCGAAAACTCGACTTTTCTTGCGCCATTTTTATACTGTTCCACTGCTAGGATAAAAACGTTTCCAAAGTATTATCATACCCTCCCCCCTTCTCACCTGGTGCACGCTGTCCTTCAAACCGAGCCACTGCTTGTAGCTGATGGCGATCCCGCTATGCCTCCATTTGTCGTATTTGCTCCTTTGCTCGGGGTCACAGAGAACCTCCTTCGCATGCTGTTGCAAAAAAAAAAAAAAAGAAACCGTATTAACGTTCTCATCAATCAAATTCTTTCAATTTAAAATCCAATCGAATATATAAAGATTTTTGAAATTTTCGATTTCAGATTTCGAAGTGATAAAGAAAAGAGAAAAACGAACCTTCAATTGCTGGAATTTTCGTTCAGCCTCCTTGTCCCCTTCGTTCTTGTCGGGATGATATTGGAGAGCCAGCAGCTTGTACTCCGCCGTGATCTGTTCCACCTGGTGGACAAATTTTTTAACACCGTTTATCGAAAAGGAAAAGAATCACAGAAAAATTTAATTCCATCCGATTCGCTGTATCTCTTCAACGAGACAATAATTCTTAATAATTCTGAATTAAGATTTGTTTATTTATTTATTTATTTTTATTCATTTGTACCGTGAGGATGCGATGATCGGTTGTCCGTGAAACATTTTTAAGCAGGGAGGTGAGAAAAAGGTTGGGAAACACTGGCACAAAGAAGACCTAACAAAGCCTAGAAAATTGGATGTTGCTTTAGATCCTGTTTAATGATCGAACGAATGAGGAGGGACTGTTCACCGTTCGATTTTCTGGAGACGACTGGACGGATATTTGCCGGCCAATTTAACGAAATTTGCCTAATGGGGGTTAGAGTTAATGAGATCATCGTCGCTCCGTCGGTAAACAGGCCAACGCTCGTTAACCGTTGGGTTTTATTTTAAACCGACGCCGTTTATTTTTAGTGAGAAAGCATCGTTGAACGTTGATATAATTTCTTGGCGAGTCAACCGTCACTTTTACTCATAGGCAAGAGAATAGATTCTTTACTCGTATAAATACTCCGTCCGCGATCCGCAAAATTGCTGATTAATTTAAATGGATTTTATGGTAGACTATTTCGATTAGATGATTTCATTCTCATTTTCACGGAGTATGAACGTGTATGTATGAAACGTGGTCGCATTGTCGATGAAAATCGACGTATTTTTTATTTTTATTTATTTTTTTTTTTTTTGTTAAACGAATTGGCAATCCGAACGGTCGAGAATTAATCGAGAAGTTGGAGACCAAAGCGCTAATTGAACTTGTGCTCAACGGTGATGCAATTATCCTCCGTTGACGCGTCCCTCCCGACAGCGAACCTAATTAACTCGGCATAACTTTCGAAAGTATATTAAACGCATACGTAATATTTCGTTAAACACTATGGGATCCTATCAACTTTAAACCTCGACCGATATTAAAAATAATTTCACGTGTACAAAGGCAAAATTAGTGAAATTCGATTGTTAGTTTTCTAAAATTTTTCTTTTTTTTTTTTTTTGGATTTTGAAAATCGTAAGGATAGGATTCAACGTTCAGGTTGGAAAAAACAAACGGAAATTTTGGCTTGGGATAGGCTTCGTGGAAAGTTTCAAGGACGGGGAATTGGAAAATTGTTTGGGAAAAATTTTCTCGAGCGAAAAATTTAAAAACAGCCAACGTTGCCAACGCGAATACGTTGAGTGTGAATAATTTAAGAAATCAAAAATATTTAATCGAACGGAAAGTTAACGTTAAACGAACTATTGCATCACACCTATATTCTAAAATTGGAAGGTAAATAAATAAAGCGAGATTCTATTTGTAATCGATGACATACGATCATCCACGGGTCAATATTTTAACTTCTCACAAAAGTTTCCATCCCATCGTTGGAATGCAATATCAAAAAGAACTTGCATCATCCAGAGCTAACATCAACTCTGACAAGGAAAAAAAGAAAAAAAATCCAAACATCTAAAGAAACTTAAACTAAATCGCATAATAATAACGTGAACATAGAAAAAAAAGAGGAAAAAACGAATCAAGAATTCCTCAAAGAAAAATAATTGATTTTAAAGTTTCAAATAAAATTATTTTAACTTAGAAATATCTTATCCTACTATACTTAGAAATAATCAAAGAATAATACTATTCTTGAATCGACTATTCGAATTTATTCAAAGACCAACCAACCGTATATAAGCGCGAAAAAAAAGTTACATTCGATGCAATTAACCGACTTTACCGGGAAACTTACCGTCGAGGACTCGTCGCACGACAGCAGAGCATAGTAATCCTCTTCCTCGCTAGGCTTATAGTTGATGGCGTCTTCGACGCTCATTTTCTCTCGCTGAATCTTTCCGTTTCTTTTTTCTCTCTCTTTTTTCTCTTTCTCTCTCTCTCTTTCTCTTCTTTTCCTCGATTCCTCTCCAACCAAAACCGAAGATATCGGGACGATGAAAAAAGTCGAAGCGAACGAAAAATCGAGACAACCCTCTTCGTTCACTCGATGATCGATTCGAGCACAACGTGGATCGTGACACACGTTTGTGATTACAGAGACAGTGATATTTTACGATGATTTCGAAGGATCGCTCGACCCGTCACCTGTTGCCGTGTCGCGCGTCGGACACTCGAGTGAGCCGAACGAGGAAGAACAGTGTCGGAGACCCGGAAAGACCCGATTCCCGGGAAATTGCACGCGTGTGCGCAATCCAGCCGCGGCCACGAAGGTGGCCGTCGATCGTGGCTTTCCCCTTCTCTTGGCTCACCGTTCCTGCGCACTTGGACCACAGGTCCTCCCTGTCCGAAGGATGATCTCTTGATTTCTCGCTTACCGGCTGAGCCTTGTCTTGAAATTTTTCGGATAAATTGCCAGTTTTCAGATGGATTTCTTTTTTTTTTTTTTAATGTCAATAGTATAATTTATAAGAATTAAAGATTTATTTAATTATAAAATAAACGAAAGTTTATTTGATAAGTTGATTTTATTTTTTCGTTATTTCTCTCTAATTCGATTCGATTTATCGATGAATAAATAGATTTTAAAAGTATTTCGAGGATATACAAAATATTTTTTTTCCGTTTTCGAGCGCGCTATCGTTCGATGGAAATAAACGTCTCGGAAGAAGAGTGGAAAATCATCATCTGCGTTTCTCAACCAACTATCCGTCATTGAAGTTGATTAATTAACGCATAACGCAAGACGGATCGTTCCCCTTTGAACAACACGCACGATATCGCGTTTAATTAATATTTCAAGAGTGAAATTCGATAATCCACATCGCATTTATATCCTGACTCGTTACGTCGCTGTTGTACGAAAATCGAGAATCGCACAAATATCGACGAATCTGACCAAAATTATTCACAAATGATTAATTACACTCGCACAAGTTTCGATCCTTCGTTGATTTTTTTCCATCAAGTGTTACACACTGTTCTATTCCGTTATGTTATTTTATAAATGGTTATATTAATCTTTTCCAACGGATGAAAGTATTATATTCGGTATTTTATATTTCGTTATATCAAATTGTATTACGAATTCTTGGAGCGATTTCTTTATCACGTGAAACGTTAACAACTGGAATCGACGCAGGCGTATACTGCGCTTTGATTACATGACATTCCAGAAACTTGTGGCTTTCACTTGCGGCTACGTGACCTCGAACCTCTTACCGATGTTACCGACCGAGTGATCCATATCTCGATCACAGACACTTCACAGAACAGATCTAACGTTCGATGCATTTTCATTTTCGCTGTCATTCTCGACCTTATCGATTCAGCACAAGTAAATTCGGCATTTCCAAAATTTAAGATATAATTACGAAACGAATATTAATAAAAGTACAAATATAATTTCAATTTTCCGCGTTCGACATTTTCGACGGCGAAGAATTTGAATTTCCAATTCGCAATGAAAATAACGAACGATCTGCGATAAAAATATGAAAAATCGAATCCGGTCCTATAAATTTGAATTTTGCTTAGGTTTTTAAATAGAACGCTCGAGGAGAACGAACGCTCTTTCTTCTTTCCTCTTTTCAACGAAATAAATATCTCTCTCTCTCTCTCTTTCTCTTTCTCTTTCCGAAGAAAAAAAATATTTTCGTGAAACGGAAATCTCCTCTTGCAACTTTTCCTAATTTATCTCTTCTTCGAGAAATATAAATAGAGATATAAATAGAAACAAGAATTCGAAATAGTGGAAATTTTTACGATTGAAACGATCTTCGCTTATTTATCTTCAAACGTAATTCGATCTTCTAATTATACAAATATATTAAGCTTAAACGACTTCTCTCTCTCTCTCTCTCTCTCTCTCTCTCTCTCTCTCTCTCTCTCTCTCATTTTTACAAGAATTGCGAACCGTTCTATTCGACTTTCGAGCGAGGACGTAATTAGAAAAAAAGCCGAGAGGCTTATTGCCACTAGAACATGGTGGCACAGTTTCGTGTATACATACGTTTCGCTCGGTTCAACGTTTTCAACTCCCATGAACTTGTGCTACGATATATTCACCCATCTCTCCACGACCGGGCTCGATTTTACCTCGATTACAACCGCTCGAAAATTAATTTTGCGCTACTTGTGCTACTATTGGTGGTCTGCTGAGAAAGAAAGGATCGACCCTTTTGTCTCGTTCCCACTTCGTTGCGCTCTCCCGTTTTAACTGCGTTTCGATGTTTCAAAAGGTTTATGAGGCGCTCGCGCGACCTGTATTACACGATCCATTTACTTGCTATAACCTTGTAGCATTTTGTTCCGATACAATCCGATATCCCGTAATATCGGACGGTTGGTGAGTATATATGTTTTATTAAATACATCGTACTAAATATCGATCAAATATTTAATTTGCATGATACGTCGAGGTTTGAAAATTCATTTTCATTTTATTTTCGGGAAGAAAAGTATATCGATCAAATATTTAATTTGTATGATACGTCGAGGTTTGAAAATTCATTTTTATTTTATTTTCGGGAAGAAAAATGTTGGGCGAGACGAGAGAGAGAGAGAGAGAGAGATTCTCGATTGGAGAATCGAATATACTCGTTGAAAGGCAACGAATTTGCCTTTATCCAGTTTAATTCGAACGGAAGATGGACGGAGAGAAGGCGAGACGTGTTTTGTTCGCGGATAATCCTCTCCCAACCTCGTGCGTCATTAGAAATTCAAATTTCTCCCTTTGGTTGGATGATGAGGCGCGGGAGTGGAAGAGGAGGAGAAGGAGGAGGGCACGAAAACGTGAGTGAATGCGTGAAGCTCATTATGCATTCGTCTTGCTTCCGCCGAAGACGCCGCTGATTATCGGTACCTTCTGCTTACAGCTGTTAAGGCCATTGTCTTGGAAACCTGGCTTTCAACGAAGGAAGCTCTGGAGAGCTTCCTTCGGCCTTCCTGCGACCTCATGGAACCCTTTGTTTTCTCGCTGAAATTTCTCTTCCTCCCTATCCCTATCGATGTATCTTTTTTATTTTATTCGATTCGAAGAAAAAATTCAAAACGAAAGAGAAATTTCGAAGAAATTCGAAACGCTTGTTGCGATAGAAAAATTATTCATTTATTAGGAAGATAAAAAATTTTGAATCACTCGCTTCGATAGAAAATTGTTCGTGACAGAGAAAAATCAAAAAGAATTATAAATGGGTTGCTCTAATCTAGAAAATTATTCTTAAGTTATTAGGACAAAGGAAAATCAAAAACAGTCTGTTAGAAAATTATTCGCAAGTTATTGGAACAAAGGAAAATCAAGAATTTCGAATCTTTGAAAAATTCATTCGTTTCGATAGAAAATTGTTCGTGACTTATTAATATGGAGGAAAATTTCGAATTACAAATGCTTCGATAAAAAAAATTAGAATTATTCGCGAATTATTAGGACGAAGGAAAAATCAAGAATTTCGAACGTGTGTGAATCGATCGTTGTAAAAGTAAAATTATTCATGATATATGGATTATGGAGGAAGAAGAAAAATCAAGAATTCTGAATCGTTGGAAATATGTCCACTTTAATAATAAAATTATTCATGATTTATTAGGAGGAAGAAGAATTCCGAATCACTAGAAATTGGCTCATTTTAATAATAAAATTATCCATAAGTTTAACGAAAATATGCAATTTTCGTTAGCAGTTTTTCATCGGGACAAAGCACGCAAATGACGAAACGTCTCGTTTCTTCTAAATTCGAGGAAGACTGGCTCGCTCCCGTGGCTCGTGCTGTCACGTGCCATACGTTCGAACGTTGAAAGATGCGACCGCTTTTCGTTTCGTTCGTTGATTTGTTTCAGAACAGAAAAAAAAAAGAAGAAGAAAAGGAGGAAAGGTTGACATTTGGCCGGCACGTGTTACGCACATTCGTCTCCGCTTCTCGCCTCCTCTCACTTCCCGTTCCCTTGCTCGGAACCTTTTCTGCATCTATTCTATTGTACCATTTCAAAATTTATTTATCACCCTTTAAATAAACCCATTCTATTTTATAGTCACGACAATTTCGTCCATAACTCGATATCCCTCCCCTCAGTCAACTCTACAAATAATTCAATGAACAATTATCAATACCAAACAATTCAATTTCCTTTTCTTTCTTTCCTCAGTTCTCTTCAATTTCACTTTTTAATTTTTCAATATCAACATCAATCTATTATGTGAACACTAGAAATCACAAAATTCATTTTTCCATTAGACATCATCCTTGCTTCTTCTTTGCACAGATACAATTTCTCTCGGCATTACACTAAAACATTACTTATACCCGGCAACGAAACGATCATCAACCACGATAAACAATTATTCGTCCGTATAATACGTAATAAGTTTGTTGCGTCATTGAGGATCCGGATTATTCGGATGGATTGACTACATGTGTAACCGATTGACATCAGTGATGAGAAAAATTTAATAGTTTTTGGATCATCTTATTCCAGAAATCTCGAAACGAATGCAAAATATTCATTTTCCATCTCCTTCCAATCGTTCACAACTTGATAAATAAATGTCCCCAATCAATGGGGAATATTTAATAGTCGAAATTACGAATAAAGTTATTTTGATAATTTATCGTTCAAAATAATTGCAAATAATGTCAAGTGGTTATACGAAAAATAAATAAATGTTATTCGAGCATTTTAATAAGTAATTACTCAAAGTAAGTTTATTCGAAATTTTAACTTTCTCTGAGTTACTTTTTCAATGCTTTATACGTGCAACACATATATGTTGTTCGGAAAATAATTTCGTTTTTTCACACGAGTGTCGCTAGTCGAACGTTTATCCAGCCAACTTCATTCTAAACCGTGTTGTTATTATATGTTTTGAGAGTTCATGGTTTTATTTATAAGAAAAATTTTGTTTGATTCTGTGCGGTTATGTTTTTCTTGCGTGATAACAAGATCAAAAGAATTCATTTTCGACATATTTTACTTTATTGTCGAAAAGGCCTCACGTTCAGTTAAAGCTGATGAAAACAAAATAAAGGCACCGACGAATAACAACTCGAGAAATTGCTACAAGATTGAATTTGTTGAATTCGACTGTTCATAATCACATGAAACGACTTGGTTTCATCGTGAAGAAAAACGAAATTTTCCGAACAACATAATAAATACATTTTGGGATCATCTTATTCTAAAAATCTTGAAATATCCATTTCCATCTCGTTCCAATCGCTTGATAAATAAATTTAACCTTAACCAGTGGTGAACAAAATTTAATAGTTACGAATGAAAATTATTTCGATAATTTATCGTTCAAAGCATAATGGCCGAAGTTATATGAGAAACGCATCAAAATTATAATAACCGCAAATGTTATATTCGAGCAATTTTTAATAAGTAATTATTTAAAAGTGACTTTATTCGAAATTTTTTAACCATTTATATACAATACTCTTTCAAGTAACTTTCAAGCCAACTTTCAACTTTAATGCCCAAAACTCTGAATGCAGAAGAGGATGGAAAGGGGTCACTGTGTGTCCTGTACCGAAAGGAAACGTGGTCGCCCAAGTTGGGGAGCAAGCCCCACGGCAGTGCAGGAGGAAACACACGCTCCGCTCTGTTTCCGTACGCACATGCGTGACAGACACGCTAGCATGCACGCGTGCGGCACTAACCTTACCCCAACTTAAATTCTTTGTGCCCGCTGGTGCACGCGTGCACCGACGGAGACGCACGCGATGCTCTCTTATCCTTCTCTTCTTACCAAGATCGAGGCGAGTGTTTTTCAGGATTATTTTATATATATATTATTAGGGATTTTTCTTATCTTCCTTTTTTTCCCTAATTATTTTTATTACAAGTATGTATCTACCGTATCATTTTTTATTATTTTAAATTAAATTTTTATTTATTTGGTAATTATTCAAGAGAAGATATTTAATTTTTCTTTTTTTTTTTTGATTTTAGATATTCCATGGCTTCGTCTCCTTTTTCGTGTTTTGTTTTCACGGTAATGGAAAAATGGTGTGAGAACGAATATTAATATTTTTAACGGAAATTTTGGATTTAAGTTAGATTTAGATTAGGTCGAAGGAATAATCGAAGATGGGACTGGTGCAAATACTCGAATACGATTGAGAGATAAAAAGAAATTTAAAAATACAAAACGTTCGTAAGGATAAGGTTTCTTTCTTCGACGCTTAAACATCAATCCGAATGATCATAAAAGAACCATCAAAGAAATAATGGTTTTCCGTTAACCGAAGTCAGAAAATATATATAAATAAAATTTCTGCAGTTTTTCCAAAAAAAACTAGTTTTATTTATTTACTTTTCCATTAAATATCTCGCATAAAACGGAAATTTTCCCTTTTCGTTGACACCTAATTCTCCATACGAAAATGCGAGATCCACGGGAGCAATTATATATTTAGTCGAGGTGCACGTTCCCTCTCGTCTTTCGAGGAATATACCCTCAGTTTCCCTTTTACACTGTCCACGCACGCACACTGTGTACACAGATGTACATAGGCACCTAGGTGAAAACGTGTGCACTTGTCGATTTCTTACTTCTGCTTACAGTTTTCCCTCCTTGTTTATCTCGAAATAACGTCGCTTGGTCGGTCGCACATGGGCGTTTCTTCTGGCCACTGCCAGATGCGTGGGTGGTGGCAGTGAAGAGAAGAGAAGGAGAGCACGAATGACGGTCACATGGCATCGTAGCGGGCTACTCTTCTGCCCTGACTTGTCAGTATTCCGTGAAGTGTTGTGCCGTGACTGCGTGCGGCCCTCCTTACGTCCGCAACCCCGCGCAACATCGCTTGGAAAAAGTTCTAGAACACTCGTTTTTTTCCCCCCTCGTCCTTTCCTTCGATTCCCTCTCCTCTTACGAGTGAAAGAATCTTTCTCGTCGTTTCTATTCTACAAGATCGTGCAAGAGAAACGTAGCAAATGATAATGAATTTCTTACGATGGTCGAAACGCCTCCTTCGAAAACGTTGTTCTCTCTTTCGAGCAAGGATATCGATTGGTGGAAACGAGAAAGAAGATTGAACGATTGAACGAACGGTGATTCTTCTCGAAGTGACACGTTTTTGAAGAAGAAATTTTGAAACTTTAAGGAAAAAGAGAAATAAAAATTGGAATTTTCGTGATATAATATTTCAGGTTAAGTTTGAAGATAAAGGTTAAGAATATTTCATGAGCTTTTCTTCGAAGATTTAAGAAGGTTGAAGCAAACGAATTCTCGGGGAAATAAAATTTCCTTCTGGTAGTGGGATAAATTCTATTTCTGGTGGAAGTATACTATTTTCGAAGATTTTCTATTTTCGTCCGACACGTTCAATCTTACGCAATTGAAGGTGAAAACTGGACGTGCAAGTTGAATCGAACGTTAACCGAGAATCGATCGTTCAAAATGTACGTTGACGAGTTTCTGGCGCGAATCACGAGTCGAGATTGCTCTCTTCTTAAAATTCTGCGAATGGCATCCTCGTCGTCGAAGACGAGAATCCTAGTGTGATTCGGTTTAGGAATCGTTCGAATAAGAGTTGGAGGTCGATCCGTCTAAAGATAGTGGTTCGAAGGTCTCCGCGAAGGAATTTGGGAGCCATTTTGGGAAGTTGAGACGAGGGAAGAATCAAAATAGGAGGGGGAGGGAAATAAAATTGAATATTAAAGTTGATAGAAGAAACTGCCAAAGAAGTATTAAATATTAAGTGGAAGAAGAAGAAAAAAAAAAAGGCTCGAAGAAATACTCTCGTTGGTAATTGGTCGTAGCCACTTTTCGAGAAGTGTATCGAAGTGGAACTCGAAGGAAAAAACTAACAGGAGCATCATTTAACGTTGTCTAAGGAACGCGCGCCGCTCGAGTGTACTTTGATGCGATGAATCAACCGAGGTCGAAATAAAAAGGAAGTTATCGAAACGAACGTTCGAAGAGTCTTGTTAACGAAGGAATAATGCCACCTTTCATGCCTTCCTTTCGTTACATTCCCATCCCGTAGCCTGTACCTTTCTTTTCTTCGAAGATTCAATCGATCAAACCAACACGTGTCCTATTCTCGAGTAAAATCAAAATCGAGAAATTACTCGAGATTATCATCCAAGAAGATCTTGGAAAATATTTCAACGATTCGTACACGCTACTAAGACGAGGAAAGGATGGATGTTTTAAGAAGGAATATCGATCGATTATCGAGTAGAATCTAAAGATAGGTAAGTTTCTTGTTTTTTTTGTATTCTCGTAAAATACATTTCTTGTTGGTTCCTCATAATTCCTCAAAAATTCACGTAATAAAAATTAAATGATGCTTTTCCACCGCCACTTTGAAAGAATATTTTATCTCTCCTTGAAAAATCCTATTTCACACAAATATTGTTCTCGTGGACTGCGAGCACGTGGATGATCAGCTGATCGAACGACCATGTCGCTTTCCATGAATCTAAACCTTCGCGCGTTTAACCTCACTTTATTCGCATTCTTCCCTTCGACGCGTTCTCGGAACCGAATAATATTATTCCTTAACTTTTTTCTTCTCTTTCTCTCTTTCTCTCTCTTTTTCGACTTTCGAATATGTTTTTCTTTCCACGTTTCAACGAGCAACGATATATATTTTACGTTTGATCCAACGACGAATACTTTTAAGGCGTCGAGAAATCCGTACGAATATTCCATTAGGAATTAGGCAGGCCGCTCGCGGTGTATATTAATAGATCGAACCTGACAGCCGAACTTAACCAGACACGACGCTCGAACGTTACACGCGAATTCGTTTTCATTTTCGTATTATTCGATTCGACCTCGAGTCGATGTAAATTTTATTTTTCCCATGGAATTCGTTCTTTTCTTTATGTTCTCTCTTTATTTTCGAATTTTTTACATTATTTTTCCCCTCTTCATTAAACGTAATTATTAAGAAAAAAGCGGATCGTTCACAATTATCTTTAAAATACATTTTTACATAGGGATAAATATTACGCTTTAAATTTAGCAAATTCACGCAGTAGCGTTACGCAAATAATCAATTAGGAATGCTAATAATAGCGTAGTAATGATTTGTATCAAATAGATCGATAATAGGGATAAAATTAATTTCGGATATATTTTTATTGGCTCGAGCGAATCGAATGTTTTAATTAGACGTTTGTTTTTGGATCACGAGCTATGTATAATAAAAGAGAACACGTGTCAATATTTGTCGACGAAAGGGAAAATTTGTGAACACGTGTCCATCGAGCGATCATTCTTTATTTCCTCGTGTGAAACGTTTTATAGCGTAGATAATTTAACATTAACGTTCCTGGTCTCGTGCTCGCCATTGTCAATTCGAGTATCGATTCGGGAGAAAGTATATGGAGGAAGTGTATCGGTTGCACCGAATTCAATGGCAGGACGGCCTTGATCCATAACGAGGAGCACACGCATGGAAGGATAAACACTTGGGTGACGAAGGAATCGAGCGTTGCATGTGATCAGAGGCGGTGCCATAACACGGCCGCGTTGCGCAATGGGCATGCGTGTTAAAATGCGTGTCACGTACAAATCATTCGATTTGAAGTAAGTCTTTTCTTGCGCAAGAACGGGGATCGCGATGACGATAAACGGGCTATTTTTCAAATACGGGGTGTCCAACAGAGTTAAAAAAGTAACTGGATTAAAAATCTCAAACGATTAAATTATTAAAATACTTGAATAACATTTATTCGTTTTTTAAAATTATTTACGATTACGTATTCAAACCGTTTATAAAATCTTTTTTGTTTCTCGATATCAAAAAACAGAGAAATTTAGGATAACGTAATTTTCTATTTTTATTTTGAAAAACATTCGAAACTGCACTAGATGAAATTCCATAGCGAAAACGAAACGTTCCACGAGTACATCTATATATTTCGAAATTGTGTTGGACCAGTTAGGAGGAAAGAAAGTTGTTGAGTTTTGAAATACCAGAAACGCGAGTACGCTATTTTTATCTCGAGGTGAAAAAAAAAAAGAAGTTCGCCGAGCTGAATCGCATTTAATTTCTTTCTCTACTAGCGGTAGACGCACCTGCCAGCTGTGAAAAAAGGGTAGCGTGAGCACGAGGATGCACGTGCCTCTCTGTTTTAAGAGGGGAGGCCGGGTATATTAACTTTGGTGCATTAAGTTTTACGCTCGTTCGTTCGTTGTAACGCGCTGTTAATTAACATGAAATACACGTAAAACTATAACAACGCGTAAATCAAGGATGCTTTGCTTTTTTACAATATCGAAAGTGGCGATTCACGGTCTTCTTTTTCACTCCGCTGTTCTGCACTTCTCAAGTCATGCACTCGTGAATTTTAAAGCTTTAGGATTCACGGGTTCTTGGATTCTCTCTTGGATTCTACATATTCGAGGATTTATGGATTCACGTAGAAACATAGATCAAGAAATTTATAATTTATGAATATTTTTTTACGAATTCTACGATTCTAAATTTAAATTTCGCGGGCTATACGATTGAGATGGATCCTGAGATTTGTGTACATACTAAAATTCATACTTTGTAAAATTTAAGAATTCATAGCTAAAAATTCTGATATTCAGAATTTACACGCAAATTTCAAGATTCTCAGATTCTAAATTTAAATTTCGCGGGCTATGCGATTGATGGATTTTCGAATTCGTGAATCGAATGAAATCTTTGATTCATTCACAATCCTGTTCTTAAATCTTTGAATTCCGAGCCAGAATCATTTTACTGTCTTAGTCGTATATTGCTAACAAAAGATGAAAAAACATTTATAAAATTGATTTCTCGAATTTCAAAAATTATTATATAATCGTTATGAATCATTGCAATCGTGTTGCTCATCAACAATTAATTAATTAATCGACAAATATTCGATGCGAATTATTCCCCAAAGAATTTTCAGACTCGATAAAAAAATATTAATTTCCCTTTGGGACACCCGGTATAACGACACGAACAGTCTACATGTTACGAGTTAAACGAAACCACTAGTTACACAGTTAGCGAGGACAATGGAAAAGTAACGAAGCAACTACTACGAGTATACGTAGCACTCGTATGGTATATCGAGAAAAATGGCGGCAATCCAAGCAAACGTGACGAGACAATGAGAGTTGAGTAGATGACGAGAGAACGGTCAATAGAAAGAAGAAATAACGATTATTCCGCTCGAACGAAAACTCGAACGAAAGCTCGAACAACGATATTGAAATCGGTGAAAAGAATTTCCATGGAAGAAGTTGACGCGTCCTGTTCCACATTTCCACGATGAAAACGTAAGTGGAAACGACGACGAGAATGTGCACGTTTTTTGGCTCGCGACATCGCAACGAATGCAAGGTAATTTATGCCACGATGATGATTCGTCCCATCAGCTGATCCGTTTGGACAAGGGAGTAAATCAGTGCGCGCTTTCATGGGAACGATAACCTCTCCATCTGCTTCTTTCTCCTCTCTCTGCTACGTTCCACGTTTCCTTCTCTCTCTTTCTTTCTCTCGCTCTCTCTCTCTCTCTCTCTCCTTCCCTCCCTCCTCCGCGGAACCCATACGAAAATAGTCCGCCATGCGAGGTCTGCCCTGCCACTAGAACAACGTTCCCTCGATCACCAGCAATTTCTCGAGCGATCGTTTTTTTTTCCGTGAAAAAACGAACTTTCGTTGAATCCTTTCTTCGAATTAAGATACACGAGAATTGGTAAATTTTCGCGGAGAACGAAAAAATGAAATGTAATTGGTACGAATAATAGAAATATCTAGTGGAGAAGTTTGGTGATTTTAGGAGAATTTGAAGTTTTTAATTTGAAATCATACGTAAATAAATGAAATATCAAACGAAAACGTGTGCAACGAGATACATTATATATAAAGGAAACAAAAGTGATTTAACGTTATTTCAACGCTTTCCGTCGGTAGAGAAGTTTGGTGATTATCGAGCGAAAAAGTGTGCAACGACATACATTGTATATAACGGAAACAAAAGTGATTTAACGTTATTTCAACGCTCTCGGTCCCTTGAAATGCCCGTAATGCAAGTCGACTCGATCGAATTTAATAATAAACCTTCCATTAACCTTCGATGAGATTGGTAATTATCCTTCGCTATATTAGACGAGCAAAGTCGATGGAAGTGGCAAGTAACGGAATAGCGAAATTCACTTCGATAAGTCGAGACCTATATTTCGTGTTACCAACTTAAAATTGCCTGTGACTCGAACTCGAAGAAAATACGATTCGCGTGTATACGGTACCGAACCGTCACTATCCACGGTGTTTCCACGTTAATCAATTACATGTTCGTTCGTTGTTATCGTTTAATGTTCAGGTCGTTCGATCTATTTATCGAATGGAGAAGCGAATTAAAAGGCGATTAAATGATCGTTTTTTTTCTCAGAATCAGAATTGTCGAAGATTGAAACATATATATATATATATATATTGGGACGATAATCGTGGAAATTAATCCTAAATTTTTTTGCTATGACGATCGATCGGAATACACCGCAACGTGAATGCAAATTGGAAGTGAATGGAAGCGCAATTCTCCGAGAATTTAATAACACCATCGTTGCATGACCGACTATAATTATACTTTGTAACATCTTGGGCTAATGTTGCCAGCTGGAACAAAGATAATAACCTCTACGAAAGTTATAAAACGAGCTTACAAGTAGGATAAAATAGAAAAAAAATAAAAAATTTCTGCCTTTACGCTCGAAACAAGAAGAAATTAAATTTTTGAAAAAATTATATCATAAATATGAAATTTGAAGAATCGATTATACAATATTACATTCGCAAAAATCCTTAGAGAAGATAATGTTATTGATTAATCTGTTTAACGAAGATTAAGATGTAAATTTGTTGACAACAATGTTACATCCACGTTATTTTTCTAGAATTCTCGTTTATATACGTGTTATAAATCAATATCGTTGACCAATACGTCGATATTCGAATAAAATATGAATGGGATGATTTGATTTCTATTTTCTCCCCTATTTCATCCTGTTCATACCACCATAAATTTGTCGTGGTAATGTTGTCGCACGAGATTCTCGCCTCCCCACATACACGCTAAATATAATATTCCCCCCTTATTTTCAGCGATGAATGAAATCACATGCTCCGCGACAACGTTACACGCGATTTCTCAATCGAAACATCCGCGAAAAATAAAACGAAAAATGCTCGGCTAGCTTTCTCTACTGTTTCTCGCGAAAATTTTTATTTTTTCATTCTTTTTTTTTTTATGCCATTTTGTGTCATTGTTAAAAACTGGTAAATTAGAACATGTTTTTCTTCCAATTTAAATCGTTAAATTTTTCTTTCTTTTCTGTTCTGGAAGTTTAATACAAAACGAAATATAGATTTATTTACGAAATTGTATTATTCGATCGAGATTAAGAACATGGAAGAAAGAGATCTCGATTTTTAAGTATCTTTTAGAAATTCGGCTAGAAAGTTTTGGACACTACTTACTATAAATATCGTACCATTGAACGCTCCCTTGCATGCTATGATATTTTAAATCACCCTTCAATTTTTTTCCCTCGCTAATCTTCCTCAATTTTTCTCAATTTGAATCGTTGAACGCTTTCTTATTTTCTAACCCTTTTAAATTCCTACAATATTTTAAAATCACAAATTTCAAATTTTTCTTTTCTCTGATCTTCCTCAATTTTTCTTAATTTAAACAATTCAAACGCACAACTCTATCATATCGGAGCATTCTCGCTAAATCTTAGAGTTATTATCATTGATAGGGAAAATTCAATTAATCGAAGTTACGAATAAAGTTATTTCTATAATTCATCGTTCAAAATGTAATAATAATAATAATAATAAATAACTGAGAAACGATCGAATTTATAAAAGCAGATTAATTATAATAGCTACGAATAAACGTTATTCGAGCATTTTATCAAGCAATTATTTAAAATAACTTTATTCGAAATTGTTAATTATTAATTAGTTACTTTTTAATATTTGCTATCATAGTGCCTTTGATCACTACCTTCTCATTCTTACATCCAAATCTTTTTTCTCGCTAATTTCTTCCTCAATTTTTCTCAAATCAAGAGTCTTGAATTCTTCTTCTTAAATTCCTCCTCAAATCATTTTCCCTCTCGTTAATTCCTCCACGAATATATTTCTCGAATTCAACAGCATAATTTTCACTGTTACAGAGGATCAAGAGCGGGGAAGGGTTTTCTCGCGGCAAGAGGTCAGCATGGCAGTCGGTAAGCTTTCTTGGACCAATCCAAGCGGTCACGTACATCTCGTGGCCGCTTTCGCACCCGAGTCACGCGTCCCGCACGCATAATCACACGCGGCTACCGCGTATCCCGCCGACGCGCTTTCCTCGTTTCATTTTCTCTCTTTTCCTCTTCCCCCCCTCCTCCCTTCCCCTCCGTTTCGCCCCCGGTTTCACCGAGTTTACGCCGTTTATTATACCCTGTCCCCCTCGAAATCGATATTTATCGCGTATTAATGCGCGCCTCGATACCGGGAACGGTATTATTTCCGAGCAGCGCACAGAATCTCTAATTCGATCTTTAGACTCGCATTCTTCTTCTTCTTCTTTTTCTTCGCCGTTCGTATTCATAAATTCGTTACGGATCGAAAAAAACGTCACGACGACGATTGTGAAATAGGAATTGGCGGATTTTACACATCGCGTACGGGAATTTTGCTCGCTTTTGGGCGTTCTAAAAAAAATAATGCATGCGTATATGCATTTTTTTTAACTCACGTTTGTAAAATATTCTTAAATATTTCTGTATATATATATATTTCTTAATTTCATCTACTTATTACATAAGCTTTTTTTATTACGTTTTAATTATTATTTGTTATGTTAATTTTTAATTAAAATTGAATCGATTAATTATTATTCACTTTACAAACTCGAATAATGCTTCAGAGTGTGATATCTGATTAAAAGACTTTATATTTTATCGCTTCGAGTGATTTTAATTCCTCGACTCGAATCGAAAGAACGTTAAAACGATATCTCGTACGCAATGTGTTAAGAAGTATTATTGTAAGGTTAATGACTAATCGAGGACGCATCTTGGCTTCACAAAATATCACGATATACATAGAGTTTAATATTCGACGAATCTTCCTTCTCTGCACGTAAAGATACATCTCGAGGATAAAGAGTTGATTCGTCCTTATTTCTACCGATTTTCGAAAATTAGACGAGCACTAATATTTACAATAAATAAAATTTAATTTACATATATATATTCTTATTATTATATATTATATAATATATATAATAATATAATATATTATATTAATAATTATATAATATATTATATAATATATATTTTCTTTTTCGAAAAGTGGAAAGGAAGAATCCTATCCTATTCTCCTTTCCTCATAAACATTTTCCTGGATTATTATTAATAATAAAAAGAGAATATCGAATCGAGCAGGGTAAAAATAGGAAAAAATTTGAAACTTCCAAACTTCATATTACAAACGCACGTCCATTATTCCATTATCCCTATACAACCCACGATAAGAATTACACGCGATGAAATAATTTTACAATCAAGAAAAATAATAGTAACGAAATTCTCGTGTTTACGAAACGAGAAACGGTTCATTTTTACAGGAAACTATTTCCTCTTCCCCCTCCATTTTTTCCCTTCGTCGCACAGCACGAGGTCAATTCATCTTCGGAGAGTAATAACGCTTGGATCGTGAACGACGGAACGGCGGACTTCCGGTGCCGCGTACGTTTGCCTCGTACGTAGCTCGCTTCTGGTTTACGGGGTGGGGGACAATACCACGTCCGGTCCATCCCCCCACTTTCGAGTACCATTCGAATCGTCGATGGCGTCCTATAGGCATGGTGTATCTCTCCGGGGAACCGAACAGTCTCAGGTGGACCTCGTGTTCGTTTGGTGGTCGCCCAACACCTTTATTTATTTATTTATTTATTTATTTATTTATTTTATTCCGCGCGAATAAACGAGACACAATTCGAATTTTGTCCAGAGATTCTTCTTTCCCCTTTTTTTTTTCGTGAAAGTGTCGCCGCTTTCCCCAGTGAAACAAAAATTCTGGAAGAAAATCATCATCGTCGAAGCTTCATCGATTCGCAATACGTGGTCGATGATGAGATGACGGCTCGAGAGAAAAGTTAGAATCGGGAAGAGAAGAGAAAAAGTGGGAAGATACACAGGAGAGAATATCCGCATGTTCACAGACAACCCCTCGTACTTCTCGTTGTCGAGCGGGGCGTCGTCGTCGTCGTCGTCCGCGCCGGCAACGAGCGCCGTCGCCTTCTCGCCCCCCTCGAAGCCCGGCTTGACGGCGCTGTTCCGTCGGCGCGCCTGCAAAACGGCAACAGGGGAGGGCGGCGGCAACAGGGGCAACGGCTCGGAGGAGCGGAGCGCAGCGCCGAGGAGCAGCCCGAGCCCGCACTGCAACGGACCCCAGGGGGGCGCCTGCGCAAACCAGAGGAGGAGCTTCAGGAGTTTGTTCAGGTCCGTGAGCGCCAACGCGGACCCGGAGAGGACCCAACAGTTCCTCAAGGGCGACCCAAGGCCGTCCGACGTCGCCCCACCCTCGCCCTACCTGCCCCACAGGTCCGTATAACCAACCCCTTCGTTCGAACCGATTTTCGAAAAAAAACAGGTTTTTCGAGAAAAATGGATTTTTGAGAAAAACCGATTCGATTCTCGGCAACCGATTGTTTCTATACACGACAGATCGCACTCGCACTCGGAGAACGACAAGAGGAGGCCAGGGCGGAGCAGGGGGGCGTTGAAGTCGGCCAGCGAGCTTTTGTCCAACGATATGGTGTATTGCGGGTTGGCGAGGGATAATCACGGGGACGAGGAGGAGGACGAGGAGGAGGGAGGGGGAGGGGTGGAAGGAGAAGGAGAGGAAGATCGGGAGTCGAACGAGGTGTTCGTAGGCGTGGACGATGCCAGGTCTGTGCTCATTAGAGAAACGTACGTTTATCGTGCGTTTAATTATCGATCGACGCATCGTCTGTATCCATTGGGAATTTTTCTGTCTTTTGTAGGTATTACAATCTCTCGTCCAGTATACCAGGAACGGGTCGAAGAAGACACTCGATCAGCACTTTCTTGGGCAAGGAGCGAGGCTCTTGTTCTAACAGGCTCGAAAACGTGTCGAGGAAACAGCAGAGCTCGGCCGGTTTGGCGGAGCCTGACGCGATGGCGCCACCTGTGCCGACGGTTGACAGTGTGGACGGGGAGGAGCGGAGGCCGAGGTCCTGCAGCAGATCCAGGCGCAGGAGGCATCGAAGCGCTTCGAGCAAAGGTGAGTCGAGAAGGAATTGACAAAGTTGTGCGAAACGGTTAATCGATGAACGAGAAGCGGGTATCGATCAGAAGGGGAATCGATTCGGTTGTTGAACGAGAGCCATAATGGTTTGTTCGTTGAACTGTATTGTTTCGAGGTTAAACGTCCATGTTCCTATCCTGTTTCGATTCGAATTCATTTCGCTTCGTTCGACGAAACTTAATTGGCTCGGTTAAGAATCGTTGATTCGAAACGAGTGACGACGTGTGAAAGAACGACGCCGGTGGGCGAATTCTCACGAATCGCTTCTGAACTGATTCCCACGGGCCAGATTTCGCCCGCATCATGTCTTGTCGAATCACGTACAAAAGCCTCGTTACGAATTTCCAATGATTCCTGCGACGGGACAAGCCGTATGTGAAGCGTGTCCCAAAATTCGCGCAAGAAGTATAATTTCGACAGAAAATACAGGTTTGTGATTAAAAATTGTGAATTTTTTTATTGATTCGTAAAGAATAGCATATCGGATAAATGGCATTCACGTCTTTGCCGACGTCTTTGCGCTCTTTTGTTGAAATTTTCCATCACCGTTTTGCATAAATGTGGCTCAATTTTCTCCTTCGAGGCATGGGCAGTCGTTGGCATAAACCTTAAATTTCGAAAAAGACCCCAAAGAAAAAAGTCCAACGGCGTTAAATCGCACGATCTGGCCGGCTAATTCTGATCACCGAAACGAGAAATTACACGACCAGGAAACGACTCGTGCAACGATTGAATCGTTTCTCGAGCTGTGTGGCATGTGGTACCGTCTTGTTGAAACCACGCGTCGTCCTTATCCATATCTTGAGATTTAGGCAGAAAAAACTGGATTACCATGTCGCGATAGCAAGCACCATTAACCGTTATTGCCTGACCAACCGCATTTTCGAAGAAGAACGGTCCGATGATACCTCCAGCTCAAAATCCCCATCAAACAGCGACGCGTTGTGGATCGCTGTCCTTTTTTTTTTCGTTGGCAATACTTTACCACACAAATGGCGCAAAATTTAAATCTTGTGAATTTTAGAATATTCTTTATATATATATACACATATACCAATCCCTCTCGTCATCGCTTTTCGAATCACGAAGAAAGACACTAAAAAGAAGAGATACATAGAAATATATAATCGTAAAAAAAAGAAAAGAAGAGAAAAAATGCAAAGGTGATTGCTATGGCGATTTCTTCTTTTTCGAATTCTAATTCGAAATTGGGCGGGGGCCCTAAAGGATATCCGGTGATCTTTGATCGGCTCGTGGAGATAATTTTTTTTTTCTTTCAATCGTGTGGACGCAACACAACAACGCACGCTCCGGAAGCCCTCCGCTCTTAGTATTCGTCCAACGAATAACCGTTTTCCGATCTGTGGCCCGATCGAGTCGAGGGGTGGAGGGGAGGGCACCCGAAACACAGTCACACGGATTGTAAAATTTACGGCCGTACGTGGCATCCATGGATCAGGAGCGAGGGGACAGGGGGCAGTTATGTCGTTCACGTGTCTCACGCGCGTTTAATTAACCACGGGACCGGAAGGTGGCGTCGAAAGCGACGTGAATCGAAAGTATCAGTTGAGCAATTGGAAAAGTGGAATTGGTTTCGTTTCGATGATAGAACGAATTTGATTGGAAAAGTTGGAAGAATTGATCGGTTTGGAAGAGTTTATGGTCACGATTGTGTATATTATATATGTGTATATTATCGTAATCCAAATTGGCATCGAATCGGATGATATTTGTTCAGATTGCATTAATTCTTTAAAAGTGGTATCGTCTTGGAAGAGTTAATCAGTTCGAATAATTGTTTCGATGATTTGTATTATATTATCGTAATCCAAATTGAATCGAATGAAACTTGTTCAAATCTGATTACATTAACTCTTTAAAAGAGGAATCGTCTCGAAGGAGTTGATTAATTCGAATAATTGTTTCGATGACATTCAAATCGAATGAAACTTGTCCAAACTCGATTGAATCGTTTTAAAGTTGATCAGTTCTAATAATTATTTCGATGGTCTGTATTACATTATCAAACATCCAAATCGAATAAAATTTATCCAAATCGTTTCGTTGATCGTTAAAAGAAAAAGGAATTGGAAGTGTCGATCGAATTCGAATTCGATTTATCCGAATAATCCGATCGTGTTATCTCGTTCATTTCGTTAAAGAAACGTCTCGAATTCGAGCAGGAATCGTCTCGAATAACATCTCGGTTCAACACTGACGGTTGAACCGGAAGTTTTCGTTCAGTTGTTGACATTGTCACGTCGTTCCGCTCGTACGAGCCGTGGAAAGGATACGCTCCACTAGTTACACCATATTTTTCACAGTGCGTGTGGGGTGGTAGTAGGCAGGATAAACTGTGCGCGTACGACGAGAGAACCGGTGCATCCGGCTCTGCGCCGTGTTGCATCCGGACGAGGCGTTGTCGTGTCACTCGCTTTCCTCGGCTGTCGTTAAAACAAACCGTGTCGGCAACCAATCCTGATTCGTATTCCAACTTTACGACAAGACCTGTCGCGCTTCCGTTTCCAATCCTTCGCGGTTACAAATTAACGACCTGAGGAAACACGTAAACTTGCTGTTACCGATGTCGTTTCACTTCTGGCTGAGATCAAATTTAGAATTTAGAATCTTGAATCTGGAATTTGGAATCTGGAGTTTAGAATTTAGAATTTTGAATCTAGAATCTGGAATTTGGAATTTAGAATCTAGAGTTTAGAGATTAGAATCTAGAATCTGGAACTTGAAATCTGAAATTTAGAATTTGGAATTTGGAATTTGAAATTTGAAATTTGGAATTTGGAATTTAGAATTTGGAATTTGGAATTTACAATTTGCAATTTGGAATCTAGAATCTAGAATCTAGATTCTAGAATTTAGATTCAAGAATTTGAAATTTGGAATTTGGAATTTGAAATTTGGAATTTGGAATTTAGAATTTGGAATTTGGAATTTACAATTTGCAATTTGGAATCTAGAATCTAGAATCTAGAATCGAGAATTTGGAATTTGGAATTTGGAATTTGAAATATGAAATTTAGAATCTGGAATTTAGAATTAAAATTTAGAATCTAAAACTTTTGAAATGGCTTTTTGATAGTGAGAAGGAATTCGTACAATAAGCTTGAAACTTTGTTATAAAACGTGCAACAAGAGAGCGATTGGAAACAAAAACGAAATGCAAGTTTCTCTTCTCTTTCTTTATATTCCAAAGGGTTTAAAACTGAAATTTTTTTCTTTTACTTCTCCCATCGAAAATGGCGTGTGAGGCTCCACGCTTCATTTCCGGCTTTAATTGAAAACAGAAGCGGGGAGAAGAATTCGAGGAGACTTTGCTACGAAATCTTCTCGAATCCTTTTTTCGCAACTTCAACTTAATCTAACCCCCTCCCTCCCTTTTCTCAAATTCCTCTTCAACCGAAAACGATATAATTTCGATCGATTAATCGCCATAATTTCGATCGATTAATCGCTATAATTTCGATCGATTAATCTATATAATTTTGATCGATTAATCTATATAATTTCGATCGATTAATCGCTATAATTTCGATCGATTAATCTATATAATTTCGATCGATTAATCGATATAATTTCGATCGATTGATAAATTAATCGCGAACGAATTGAATATTTAAACACGGCCGGGCCCCTGTTCATAAGCCGCGTACAGGAAACAATAGTATGTACAGTTGTTGTCGAAGCGCGGAGATGCGGAATAATAATTGAAATTCGATTCTTTTTTTTCGCGTAACGAGGCATGATCGTCCGATGATGGCATGTTAAACAGACAATAGAGCAGGTCGCGATAGATCTGGCGGCAAGATGGCGGTCAATAACCGTGAAATTAAGCATTCCACAGGCGCGATGCCTCTTTCCATCCGCGTATATATTTACCGGTTGTACTTCCTGGTGTCGGTCGTGCACGATTTCCGGTCCCACCCTTGCTCCAACTTCGTTTCCGGAACGCGACGCCCCCACTCCCTTCCCCATACCATCCATTGCCCCGTGTTCCATTCCCATTCCGCATCCGATTTTGCTCCCGTTGTTACACCTTGTTACACCTCGCTCAACAATCCAAAACGTGACTCGCCCGCCGATCTCTTTCTAATTTCTCTCTCTCTCTCTCTCTCTCTCTCTCTCTCTCTCTCT